GGGTGAGGGGTACGATGGGGCAGGTGGCAGCGGGGGGTGAGGTGGGGAGCTGGGCTGTGATGGGGTGAGGGGTACGGTGGGGCAGGAGGCAGCAGGGGGGTATACAGGTAAGGAGTTGGGGATGAGGGGCCCAAAGGGGCAGAATGGCAGCAGGGGGTAAAGGTAAGGAGTCAGGGGCTGTGAGGTGCAGGATCTTGGATCTCGTCCCCCTGTACCAAATGGGAGCTGGCGCTAGCACCTTGCCCACCTCCCCTCTCTGGGCCTCTCCTTCTCCCTGCCAGGTGCCCTCCCTGGCCGGTGGAACCCAGCCCTCCCTGGCGCCTGTCACCTGCTCCGTCCCCTCCCAGCCCAGCCAGCCAGCCAGGAAGAAGTGCTCAGAACAGAGGCAGGGTCTCAGTCTCCCCAGCCTGGGGATGGGGGATTCACAGGGAGAGGGGCAGAGGGAGTGGGAGCTGTCTGCACAGCAGAGCGGGGAAGGCTCTGGGCTTCCAGCATCACATGGGGGAGGAGGGAGCCAGGCAGGAGTGTTCAGCAGGCTCGGGAGCTCCCTGCACTGCTGCTGTGTGGCTCGTCCTGGGGAATTTGTCTCGTGCTTCCGGGGGCTGAGCTGAGGACTAGGCTGTAAGAGCTGATTTCTGATCCCAGTTCTGTTAGCAGTGCCATCGAGCGGTTCTTGGTGCACATTTAGTGAGCAGTTGCTGAGGTCTGGGCTCCTTCCCCACTATGCTGGAGGGGTCCAGTGCTGCAGGATCTAGCAGGCATGGAGCTGGGAGGAGATGATCTGCCTAGCACTGCCACTGAGTCGCTGTGTGGCTGTGGGCACCTGCCTGAGTTTTCCCATCTGTAAAATGGGCACAGCAATCCTGAGCCTTATTTAAAAAAACATCTGTGGCGCACCTGCTGGTGTCCACAGAGAACATTTCCAGCTGTCATATTGCATTACATCCCAGCGCCAGTATGTGTACTGCATTCCCAATGTTATGTTTCCATTGAAGCAGTTGCTGGAGTTGCCACAGAGGCGTTGAGAGATGGGGTCAGGTGGTGAGAGGGGACAAGCACGGGGTTAAAATGTGACCCACACCGTGGAAAAGTTTGGGAGTCCTCTGTTCTGTGCTAAGAGCACTGGTGTAAGCCCTAACCTGCCAGATGCTGACTGTAGAACTGTCTGTTCTCAGGGGACCTGACACTCGGGGCTGGTAGTGTGTGTGAAGCGAAAGCGCTAGGCAGGAGCCGGTGGCGGCTAAGTGTGATGGCTTCCATGTGCAGTGACAAATGTGTGCCACCAGGTAAAAAGGCCAGTAACTTGCAGGTGGCATTTCTGAAGGCCTGCTGCAGGGTTATTTTCACTGTGGGGAAAAAACTAAGCAGAGTCGGGCAGGCTCATGACTTGGATGGGAAATCGCAGGGCGCAGTGGGAAGCCGCACTGCTGATTCAGTAACCGGTGCTCCAGGCTGTTCCCTAGCATGACCCCTGGAAGCTGCTGTGATGGATGTGCTAGAGATAACTACGCAGATAGATACATAGGCCACTGGGCTGCTGGACCCAAATCTACCCTTGCTTACACCACTGTAAATCTGGAGTAGCGCCTATGAAGTCAAATGGAGTGACTCTGGTTTTACAGAGTTGTAACTGAGAGCAGATTTTGGTTCATTGCTGTTTGGAAGAAACAGGAAACCCAGGTTCTGAACACTTGTGAGCATCAAAACTCTGCCATAGCACACTCTGAGAGAGGCATAGCCCTGGCCCTCTTCCAGTGAGGGGTCATTGCACTCTACCAATCAAAAATTCCCCCAGCAGTTTCAGTTGGATACAGTATTCGTCCCCACTCCCTGTCTTTAACTCTTGCACAGGGTTGCTGTGCACTGTTAAAACAGCTGCTCTGTTCCACTTCAGAGGTGGCTGCATGTTAGTGGCAGAGGAAGTTCTTCCTGTATGTGTGTGTTGTAAAGCGCTTTGGGATGGATTTAGATGAAATATGCTGTGTGGGGTAATTGTAAGATCACTCTGTCCACAGGGTCCATCTCTGCCTCGTGCCACAGACCTGCAACAATCCCAACTTCCCTGGCACCATATGTTCCATGGCTGGGCGCTAGCCAGACATGCTGCTCTCCCATACAAGAAATGGGCGCATCATCTCTGCCCATGGCCCCATTCACGACCTTTGCTGTCGTGCCACCTACTTGGCACAGGTTTACTGAGGGCAGCTGGATCGCTGTGGGAAAAGGGACTTGGTGCCAGTGGCAGATTGAGAGCCGCATGCGAGTGGAAGGCAGCTGCTTGGGTCAATCCTTAGGCTCTATCTCACCAAGCAGATTGAGGGCTGACCTGTATGGCGTGAGTGCAGGCACACGCATGTGCTGGGAGCAGAGTCCTATATGGTTGATGGAAGCAGAGAGCTGCGTTTGCTGGGAGAAGTGACCTGGAGAGAGAAGGGGTGGGGGCGTTAAAGAGGAGAGCAGTGAATTAGTGGGCAGTGACCGGAGTGTGCCCCATGCAGGTAGACTTAGCTTCTAGCACAGCTGGGCCTGGCCCCAAACTCCAGCCAGTTCCACATCCAGATCTGCGTTCTTCCCCGGGAGCTGATCTCTAGTTTCCAAACTGGCCAGGAAGCGCGTTGTGGGGAGGGGAGCTCGGGCAGGCTCTGCAATGCAGTTTTGGTCTGCATCAGCCTGCTGTTCAACAGGACAAAGCGACAGCAGCTGTGGGGTGTGGATAGAGGGGCGGGGGGGCGAAGGCTTCAAGCTGCCGTGCAGGTCTGCAGTTTGCGGGCAGGAGGGGCTGGGTGTGTATGAAAGACGGCCAGAGGGGAGGCTGTGGTTTGATAGCAGGCCCCGAGCTCAGCATGGGCCCAGGGTCAGCTACATGTCAGGCCTCCCCTGCACGGGAAGTGTCAGGCAGGCAGCTTCCTGCCTCCTGCAAAAGGCCTTCGTTACCGTGGCAGCGTGCGTCATGGAAACTTCCTCATTGACAGGTCTTCTGAGAAACCGAACCGAAGGTATGTTAAGATGCTGAGCGCGGAGAGCCCTGGGCAGCAGCCCTGCATGGCGCCCACAGTCATAGCGGCCCTGCTCTCGCCCCTCCCGTCTGAGGCGCTCCAAGCGCTCTGCAAACACTCATCAATCAATGCTCAGGGGACCTGGGCATGTGAGAGCATTGCCCATGTGTTATGTATGGGGAAACTGAGGCACAGAGCCAGGCAGTGACTTGCTCAAGCTCACTCAACGAGTGTCAGAGCTCGGAACTGAACCCAGAAGTCCTGACTTCCCAGGTCCCTGCTGTAACCTTTGGGTGACACTTCCAGTCCTTATGGGGCTGTGCTGGTTTTTGGAGCTATGGGAAGGGATCGGCATGTAGGATTTGTCAAGGCAGATGGACGCATCCCAGCAAACCCACTTAGGCCAGCATCTCCCCTACTTTTCACGGGATGGGGCAATGCTGTTGCCATGAAGGGGTGTGTGTGCAGGGGGTGATGGGGGGCTTGCGTTGGCCCATTTCCCCCCCACACACACACACACACTCACACACAGCTTATGCCCGGAAGCCTGAGATTTGACTGCCCTTATAGTGTTCACTTGTTTAGCTCCTCTGCCAAGTGCAAGTCCTCCCTAAGCCTGGCCCCTTTGGGCATGATTTTCTGAGGTGAGTGCCTGCAGTTCCCACTGACTTTGGCTGGAGCCGTGGGCACTCGGCACCTCTGACATCCAGGTCAGGTGGGTGGGACCTGTGTGGAGCTTCCCCCAGCTTCCCCGTGGGACGCATCCTCAGGCTGGGGCAGCCCCCCGCTAATCTTTGGGCCTCTGAGCACCCACCCACTCCGCAGGAGTGAGGCAGGGAGAGTGATGCAATCTCTGCCATGGCCAACTGGCACCACTGCAAGGGGAACCTCCTGGTGGCTGGATGCTTGTGTTCTGGGTGCTCTGGAAAAATGGGGCCCTGTGCAGCATCAGAGGCCACCTCTGTTGTGTTTGGGTATTGACACTCCAAACTGAAACCCGTGTTTTGGAGCATAGGGGTTGCAAGGCTCTCTCTTGGGCCAGCCGGGGTCACTGCAGCAGATGTATTATTTGTATTGCTGTAGCGTCTATAGGCCACAACCGAGATCCAGGCTGTGCTAGGTGCTGTACGGACACCTAGGGGCCTAAGCCCCGGATCTGAATTCGCTATTAGAACTATGGCAAAAAGCCTTTAGTGGCCTACAAGGTGAACTTATGACTTTTCCCTAGTGCTAAAAACAATTGGCTTGTG